ACTATCCCCGCCGGACACCATCCCGGTATTTCTGAGTCAAGGTTTCGGGGCTGTCACAACTTTTATCTTAACTACAAACCTAACTAAACAATGGTAAAAACTATCCCCCGCCGGACACCATCCCGGTACTTCTAAGTCCAAGTTTCGGGGCCGGGAATAAATGTTAAAAGTATAGACCAAGAAAATATAAAAGGAAATGAATTGTGAAATCAGAAAAAGTTTTTCTTATAAGTAATTTTGAATAAATTAAGAGATTGACATTCTTGAATTCTGATTGGGATTTTGTTCCAAACTTTTGCTCCAGAGATTTTTAAAGAGCCATTCATTACAGAGCAATTTGGAATTGTGGGGGATAACATTAAGCGAGTGAGCGTATCTCGTAGGATGGCAGATGTGTATACATATAGAAGAACCTACTGTGGAGATCTCTTGGTCCCCGGTTCAATTCCCATCGCTGCTCTCCTTGTGTTTCAGCTAGAGGGCTGAAATACAAGTTACGATAACGCACTGTCTTTCGGATGAGACGTTTAAGCTGTTGGTCCCGTGTGCATTATGGCCCATGTGCACGTTAAAGAACGTAGTACACTCTTCAGAAAATAGTAGGGGATTGTCTCCCGGTGTAGGCCTACTGCCCAATCAGGGGCAGCGCTAGCGGGGGCAGGGGCTTAAGCCCCCCCCCATCGGTCTGGTCAAGCCTTCCCCTCCACCCACTATCGACCAAAGCTCGTCGGTCAGGCGGACCAAAAAAAAATTTAAAAAATAGGCATTTAACAAAAAAAATCTCGTTTTGGGAGGAAGGGACACCCCTCTCATACCCACCCCCGGCTCGGGCCTTCGGCCCTCAGATAACGCTGCGCGCTATAATTACACCCATAAGTCGGGTCTATACCTGTCTCTTATACACATCTCACCTCCATAAATACCGCCTCTGTGCCCAATCAACACCAGAAGGATCCCACTGGAAATAAATCTTCTTCAAACTTTCGTGAGTTATCCTTAATGTTTACAAGGAATAAATCCAATCCAATCCACTGACGAGAGATTATTATTAGATTAGATTTTGATTTGATTGACAAACCGGCGATAACGCACAGTCGTCAAAACAAATTTAATTTTGGACCACCAGTACCACGTAACACAGGCATTAATTGCAGACATTGTCTAGTAGACATGCTCTATCGTTACAGAGGTCCTAAATGGTAGTAGGTGTAATCACCTAAACAACTATAACTTAATTAAAGTAGAATGAAACGAAGACGTACTTAATGCCAGCGAACAGGTAAACAAACCCAGAAGTAATACAGGACAGATCACAAACTTGCTAATCATCGCCGTATACTTTCATCGATGAACGTAAAATATTCTACCAATATTGAAGAGAACTCGGGTTATATTGAGGAGATACTCAGGTAATACTAAAGTCAACAGCTAGATTAAAACTCTACAAAGGCTTCGTTAAACATGGATAAACCTAAAGGTATCGAATCAAATATTCTTTGAATAAAAACCCAATTGTGACAAGGCGACCTTGATAGTATTGTAAGCGCCGGATTACCCGTTGTATACCAAGAGTGTTGCATCCTAGAATTACTCATAGTAACAAATTGACAGAAAGGTAGTAAAAACTGTAAACCTACAATAGTGTCCAGTTGCGCATAAGAGCAAACAAAAGCAAATTATATAACCATAAATTGTATTTTAATTAATGTATTTCTTTTTCAACAAAACATACAAAAGTATCAAAAAGTTCCTCTAAAGACAACTCTATTGATCTTTTTTCTGACAATTTCTCTGTTTTTTTAACAAAATAAAAGTTGTAAGGTTCTCCACAATATTTCTTAGGTTTTTTGGCCCTTGGCATCTACATTTTTACTGTTTTATTGCTTTAAGTGGTGGGTTACCTGCTCTGTTGGGTGTGATTTGATAAAAAATAAATAAATAAAAATATTAAAATCCAAATAAACTCTTTAATAGTACCCAAATATACAAATCATTGATTGTAATGGTTAAATTTGTTTGTGTCTCAGAAAAGTGTGGACGGAATAAGGAGGCGCCTAAAAAATGTGGTTGTTAGGAGATTAGTTAAAGGCATGTGCGATATTTCATCAGAAAAAAAAAAACAGGATATGCCCTTATTCACCTTTTATTGCAAGGCGGCATTTTTCAAGTGTTTATTTAGTGGCAACCTTTGACCAGTGATAGCTGCTTTCGCTGTCAACAAATTGTCGAGAATATTTCTATTCTGGCTAGTGAATAACATTTCGAGATGGGCTTTTCGAATATTTTGCAAACTAAAAAAAAATGGTGGTGTGGTGGGGGGGGGGGGGTGCGGCTTCTTTTCAAAACGAATGCTGAAAGTATTTAGAATTGCTGGAATAAACCCGTATATGACTACTGACATTAAGAATTTTTCTATTCTGGCTAGTGAATAACTTTTCGAGATGGGCTTTTCGATATACACCCAAAACTATAAATAAGTACGTGGGGTTTTCGTGACGCTGAACGACTACCGGTCATGAATTGCAGGTCTAACGGACTGTGCAGCAGGGCGATGAACATTATATCAACATGATTTTCATCATCATCACCACCACCACCACCAACAGCATTTCAGTTACTTTTTCCATAACCATCATCATCACCATTACCATCGAGCCACCATTAGCACATCATCACAAAAACCTCATTACCGTTCCCATCATCATCTTCATCATCATTAACATCATTACCGCCTTCATAAACAGCTTCACCACTTATTAATAATCAACTTCATCATTATTATTTATTATATTTTTATTATCTTTTTAAAATTTATTATTATTTTTATTATCTTTTTAAAATTTATTATTATTTTTATTTATTATTTATTATTATTTTTATTATTCATTATTATTATTATTATTGTTATTATTATTTTATTTTTATTATTATTTCTATTATTGTTATTATTATTGTTGCTGTTGTTGTTGTTATTCTTACTACTGTATTGTTAGGCATACTGGTTCTACTTTTAGTCAAGTTAAGTCAAAATTGCAGAATAATTAACAGGGGCTCATACATCTTTGAGTTTATTCAGTGTTTTCTATTTTGTCATTAAAACTGAATACATTAATAAAAAATTTTCATAAGTTGGTTTATTTATGTTGGCATTTAAATAATTTGATTCAGTTCACTGTGTTTTAACATTTCAACTACCTTTTAGAAATTTCGAGGTGAAAAGCTGGTTCGTGTTCGTAATCTACACTACTTTGACGTTAAATTTGAAGTGGATGCCAGTTTTTATGCCAGTCCGATGTGTAATATAGTAGTCCTACAAGTTCTGACATTGCATATGTACTTGCAACTGCACAGATTAAGACTTAGTTGCAAGTGATAGTCGTGGTTGACCGTCTTTGTCGGGTCTATACAATGCTATTACAACTATTACTTTCGTTTTTTGTCATAGCTTACCATTGACACATTGTATTATAATTGTATTGTAAAGTAGGACTATGCTTGTAAACTTCAAACGACAATGAAAATAAAATTAGTGTGTCCCAAAGTAAAGACATACTGTACTAAAACCATATCATTTAATACACGAACATACACTACTACAAACTAACACATGTATGATTTACAAGTTTAAATTTAATTATCGAAGAGGATTATTATAGTCATATTCGATCAGGACTCAGCAATGAAAGAAACATTTTGTGATGCAATAGCTTCAACAAGGTTTGTAAGATATGACAGACTTCAATTCTGCAAAAAAGAAAAACAAACATTTCGGTAAACAGAATTAATGCATAAATATACGCAACAGGTGCTTTATTGTGAAGAAAAACAACAATTTCCTCCACAATACAGTAGTCTTATAC